CGAATATCTCTCCATTTTTTGACAATAAGAATATATCATTGAGCTCTTGGTCACTCATTCTTTCACTTGTAATTTTCTTCAATTACCGATTTTAAAGCAATTTCGTGCTTAGGGGGTTCCTTCGATTCCTCTTTGCTTTTCCTTGTTTTCTCCTTAGTTTCGACATCGTTGAACTCATAAGTAATCAAGATTCCATAAAGTTCTTCTAATGGATATGAGTTAATATCTTTGGTATTCTCTATCAATATCCTTAATGAGGTCCAATCTTTCGATAGTGACCTAAGCATTTTACTTACAAGCTCACCATTAGAAAATGTACGATCAAATCATTTGAGGCCATTAATAATATTGGTGAAGCGAGTAATCATGTCAACAATAAGTTCATCTTGTTTCATGAAGCAGTTTCCGAATTCTTTAATCAAAAGATTTATCGTGGTTTCCTTTACATTATTGGTGCCAACATGAGTAACTTCTATGTATGTCAAATATCATATGCAGAATCGCATGCGTGAATACAATTAAATTCATTACTATCTATGACACAATAAAGTAGATTTTTTACTCTAAATTTTAAAGATAATTTTCTTTAATCATCTTCGTCATACTCCTTTCTAGGTTTTAGAATGGTTTGATTGGGGTTTGCAATCAACTTTAATAATATTTTTAGCACATAAGGACCATATTCAATTACTTTCCAAATATTATAACTATTGATTGAGTGTAAATTATCATCCTAGCTTTCAAGTAATTATAATGTGTGCCATCAAAGAAGGAATGGCGATTTGTAGAATGCTCCTCAAGATTTTGAAAATTGTGGTTAACCATTACCCAAGATTGTGAAATCTTTTAATTTTAAAATTGAACATCTTGCTCTAATACCAATTAATAGTCCAAGAATAGCTAACCAAGAAGGGGTGAATTGGTTTTTAAAAACTTTTTCGAAAAATTGATTCAAATTTAAGTAAGTTGAAAATGAATAAGTCAATCAAACAAAAAAAAATGCACATTTACGAAAGTGATAAGTAAAAGGGAAGAGAGTGTGCAAACGATATAATTGTAGAGGTTCGATCCTAAACAATGATCTACATCCTCTGTTATCATGCTTTATGTCATGAGCAAGGTCTTTTTACTAAATTTGTTTGACTTATGGTACAATCCAAATCCTTATAATGATTCTGGTGACTTACAAATAAGAAATACCAATCTTTATACAATATTGAGTTTTTGGGGACCTCAATATAACCCACAAATATAAAGTGAAATGATTTTACAATTTGAAATTTCTCTCTTAATAAATGATATAATCAAATTAAGTATAAAGAGATAAATGGACTAACACTTAAAGAAATAGTAATGAATGAAGCTCAATTATTAGGTGAGAAAAGAACTTTGACGAGAACTATGTTTTTCAAAAGTTGATTCAATTAAAAGTTTTTTAAAGTAAATGATTTGAAAAAGATAATTAAGATATAAGATTAATATAATTTAACTCAAGAATATCTTACTTAAATGCTCTCAAAAATGTTGTAATAAATGCAAAGTAACGTGGTATTTTTAGAGTTCAAGACGCCAAAAATTCTAACTAACCGGACAACTAATTCGGATATCCACATTCTGAACCGGCAACCAAGCTATAGCCATTGTGAGTCAAAATTCAAAAGGTAAAGAAAGTTACCGTTGGATGAAACGAATGTCCACTAGGTCCAACTGGACTTCCATTTGGACTGAATTTTTCTTTCTTGATTGCTTTGAAAGTGTATAATTTTGAACGATGTTTTCACTTTATTTTTCAAAGTAAGTGATATTGTAATGAGTTTGAATATCGAGTTGAAATACTTACCTTTTGAAAAATAATTTTTATGCAAGTGTTTTTATGAAATAATTTTCTCATGCATAAAAATTTATTCATTGAGCATTTTATGATTCATTGCTAAAGATTAAAACGTTGTACATTTACACATCAATGCAAAACATCTTAAGCTAATATCTTCGATGTTTGACTATTAAAATTCTTTGTCTCGAGTGATTTGTCGTAAATGCCTGGTTTTTATCTCGATTTTCATTGATTGTCCGATGCGAGTTTTTTGGTAGTGATTTTTTTATTCCCGTTGATCAACCCTGCAATAATAGCTATGAAGACTCGAATTCAATTGTTAGAAATAAATTCAATTTGTTTGTTACATCAAAACATGAAATCAACCATAGGTCAATACACCTCGCCCCCAACCCAGTATTTGTCCTTGGATGTAGAATTCTTTTCACCAATATGGTACAGCATTTATAAGACCTAAATAAACACATTATGGCTCCACCCTGACTTTCTTCTGCAATTGCTTCCCCACTTCTTCCTCTAAAATATTTAGTGTGTGTACAAAGTCGTTACAACATTTTCTGAGTCTACCACTAAATGTGGATGTACAGTATCATGTCATTCAATTCACTTAATTTCTTGCTATAATGAGAGTTTGAGTAAATGCAAAATTCAGTAAGCTTCAAATGTTGTGCAAGCTGGAGTAGGAGCTAGGACCTTGCACTATGTGATGTTTTAACAATATTTCGTTTGTCAGCATAGTTATAAAAACCGACTTAGTTGATTGCATGAGCAAGACAAAGAATGATGTTAGATTTTCTTAAAAGACCTAATACACACATGCATAGAGGCATGTACGTGGGCTGGACAGAGTTGAGATTCATTCTCTAAGTCCGTAGGACCAGGGGCGGATCCACATGGGGTCATGTGGGGTCAAATGACCCCACAATTTTTTGAAATTTTTTTTTTTTTTTTTTTGCTGAAAACTTAATTTTTTGCTCCAAAAAGTTCAAATCCTAAATCTATATCCATATCACATGGTCCATATTCATTATTTAGTCCATAGATATATCATATAATCCACCGATTTCTTTTCAAAATGCAAATATCGAACATGAACAACGAACAATTGATTTTTCCTTTTTGTTCATAATATGTTGTTTGAAAAAAAAAAAATTTTGACCCCACAGTTCAAACGGTGTGGGTCCGCCCCTGCGTAGGACGTTCCACTTGGGCTTTTGAGATCTTCTTGTTGATGCGATCATATTGGTCTTTTGTCGTGCTGATGCGGTGCTTTCCATTCGAGTTGACCAGGTTTGGCCTTACATCTTATGTGAAATTGGGAAAAACTAGTTGATGGAGAGGTTCTTAGTGACCTGATAGGCTTTGTCTACTTTGCTTTGTAGTAGATGTAAATTTATCCATTTCGTTTGTGTAATTTCTCTCTTTTGTGGTCCATTGCAGCAGATCATTAATGCTTAAGGATAGAAATTGGGGACTCGTCACTTATGGTTCGAAAATTGAATTTGTATTTGCTACATCATATTGGATTTTTGAGGACAATGGTTAAGGTTTTAACTTCCTATGTTTTAATAGTATTTAACGCTGTCTGATTATGCTATACATGATAGAATAAGGGGTTGTGAATTAAATTTTTATTTAACATATGACAACGTAGCCCTAATTGTTCTCAACACACTCAATAACTTCAGCATTTATTTGTGTTAAAGGATAAAAATCCCACATCGGTTAAATATCGAAATATTGACCAATTTAAAAAGATTTTGGACTACTCCTCTTAACAAGGTTGACCTTATTAAGATGAACCCCAAATTTTAATAAGGTATCAGAGCCCATTAAACTCCAACGAGCAATTCGATCCGATTATAAGTCTTAATTAATGAGCGACGGATTGCAAGATTCGTCTGCTCAAACGAGCCACCATCTTGTGGGGGCATGTTAAGGGATAAAAATTTCACATCGGTTAAATACCCAAATATTGACCAATATAAAAAGATCTTGGGCTACTCCTCTTAACAAAGTTGACCTTATTAAGATGGACCCAAATCTTAATAATTTGGTTTTAACGATCTTTCAATCTAATAGTATAATCACCCTTGTTTGAATGCTCAACCCAACCTCGGTCCAATTCATCCTCTTCATAACTACCGTAGATGAGTAATGACCTAATAATAACGTCACACTTTCATTCATTGATTATTTTGAGTAATTAATATTAATATTGACATTGAACTACTTGAATAGGCTTTAATTCTTAATGATGCCACTAAAATAAGATGGGTTTTAAGTGGAAAACACGGTATTGATGCCCAACTAAAAGAAGCTTAAATAATTTTTTCTATGTTCTTTCTCAGTCAACCTCCTTTCACCATCAAGAATTCTATCATTTCTTACCAAGTGGATCTGTTCTAGAAAGAGGTGACCTGCACCAAATCAAGGCCAATGAAGAACCTTCTCTCTCTGAGCTTTTACTCTTGTAGTAAAGCAAGAAGAAATGCTTCTCATATATCATCCTAATGATTAGGAAGGGGCTAAAGGTGGGCATGTTAAATTAGGGCATAAGTAGCTTTAAATAAAGAATCAATAGTTGAATGTGAAGATTTTATCGATCATCTACAACATTGTTTAATAGTACATAACAAACATGTCTTTATAGATTGACATCGTTCTTTACATGTGATATACAAGTTGCATTTGTTCAACATTTAGGAACATTCTTTGATCAACCATGTTTAGAATTTTTTCAAGAATCACAATCATTGTATTCGATATCTTTGTTTTCTTTTTCGCTGTAGTTACATTTAACACCCCCCCCCCCACCCCAGGGGATAAGTGAGTATGGCCTACAGTTTGGAAGCAAAAGTTACTTCACAGCATCAATTTGGTTTACATTTTTTGTTACTAAAATTCTACTTTTTTAAGAAATAAATTATTGATGAGTGAGAAGGGATTGTGAAATTTATTCTTACAAGATCTATAGTTAAAATTAATGTTTGACTTTCAAAATAGAATTTAAGAAGTAAATGTATCCCAAAATAGGCTATTTCATTCTTATGCTAAAAGAAATTTTTATAGTTCATTTCCCTCCTTTAAACTCAGTTTTGTGAAAGTTAACCTAACCATGCCGCGATTGGAAGCAATCGACAGTGAAATGCTTAAAAGCAATATATGAACAAACGTAGGCAGGAAATTGCATTATGTTTCTGAAGAAAAATCGGGCAGTTGTACTAAATATGGTAATGGAACAAAAACCAACACCACTTCTATACCAGATCAACTTCCTATTGCTACTTGGAAAGACAATGAAAAGGGCTTGTTTAGTGGGGATAGGGGTAGGGTAAGGACTAGCATATATTGAGATAGATATACATATATAAAAGTATGGCTAGCCCTTCTTTGTTTTCTTGGTGGTGGTGGTCTTGTCATGGATGACATCAAGCAAAACAGAGCTTTTGCATTTGGGGCATCTTGGGTCTTCTTCTGCAAGCATGACATACATGAGACACCGGGGGCACCCCACAAGCATCATGGATATGGCCTCCGGGCCGGTGGAGTACTGCCGGGACTCCTGCTGGTTCACTTCCGATGATACACATGAACTCGGAGGCGATGTCGACGATCGACTCGGGGACTCAGGATGGAGGTTTCTTCTTGCTGGTGGTGACAAATTCAACCCGAGATCAAGCTGTGGTACGTTTCTTCTGCTCATGATTCTCCAAGAATTCCTTTGATATTTTCTTGAAACCATATTAGCTGAAATATCTTATAAGGACCATAAATTTGATTGAATTGAAGTATATAAGTTCATACCTTAACAGGGTGGATATGGCGAAAGATAGAGGTGGCGAGCGGCTGCTATGCGGCGGTGATGACCATCTTTTTGAGAAGTAACAACACTTTTAACATGGATATGTAAAAGGGTCTGTGGTAGTTGGTTTTGAGAGTCTGAGCCCATTATATATAATAGAATAGGGGATAGATGGGGTTTCTTTAAAGCTTAATTAAATTATGGTGAGAGATGGACGGAGGAAAGTTTGTGGTAAAATTGCAATTAAGTTAAAAATTCATTGGCCACAGAGTCGAGGTTTGTGCACTTTTTGAGCTTCAATTAACCACCAGAGATTAAGATCTAGATTTTAATAAATAATTAATTTTAATCACACATTTTATTGAATTCACAATTGGTCAACTACACATTTATTTCATCTATTTCCATCAAAATTAATTTTAATCCCTACCAAATAGAACTAAATTTCTAATACATCCAATTACACAAATATTGTAAATTCTTGCATTTTTGAGATAGGATGTGTTACTTGTAAATATATATGTTTTTCATTTCAAATTTAAAAGAAAATATCTTTAAAAATATAATAATACTAAAATACCAATAATGGGTTATGTTAAAATGTACATTTTGAGTTGTATTCATCAAATTAGGTATCTTAGCAGTTACATTTCAAACCTATAGATTCAATGAGTGTGTGCATAAGTTTGTGGTAAAATTGCAATTAAGTTAAAAATTCATTGGCTACAGAGTCGAGGTTTGTTCATTTTTTGAGCTTTTAAAGCTTCAATTAACCAATTTTAATTAATAATTAATTTTAATCACATATTTTATTGAATTCACAATTGGTCAACTACACATTTATTTCATCTATTTCCATCAAAATTAATTTTAATCCCTACTAAATGGAGCTAAATTTCTAATACATCCAATTACACAAATATTGTAAATTCTTGCATTTTTGAGATAGGATGTGTTACTTGTAAATATATATGTTTTTCATTTCAAATTTGAAAAAAAATATCTTTAAAAATATAATAATACTAAAATACCAATAATGGGTTATGTCAAAATGTACATTTTGAGTTGTATTCATCAAATTAGGTATCTTAGCAGTTACATTTCAAACCTATAGATTCAATGAGTGTGTGCACGTTTTGTGCTTTTAAAGCTTAAACAAATTCCAAAAACATCAAACTATACAAGTATTAATATATTAAATATCATATCAAGTAAGAATTATTTTTTGAACGATTTTAACCCTACTACAATTCAACTATTTCAATAATACTTTATTTTTTATTTTTTAATCTGTAATAAATACTACAAAATTCTTGTTATGCATGAATTCCGTGTTACTAATTCTAGATTAATTAATATTCATATTAATCTAGAGTCTAGATTCAATGAATTTTGATTTACATGAATCTAGAGATTTTATAGATGAATTTATTTCTATTCATATATTTAGAAATTTAATGGGTGTTTAAATTTATGTATTAGTAATTAATTTTATGTACGAAATGTAATATAAAAAGATTATTCATTCGTCGTATTTCATCATCACAAAAAATTTGAATCATAAAAATTGAGTTTTGATAACACAATTTTCTTCTCTCAAATTTATATCCTAATTTTTTTATGTTCGTTGGAGACTCATCAAATTCTACCAACAAGTTGGTATCGAATATTACTTTTACAGCACTTATAAAGCATTTAAGAGTATTTAAGAAATTTAATAGCACTTATAAAGTATCTAAGAATAATGTGCATTGTACATTCAACTCAATTAGTCTTAAGAAATATAACAATACTGAAATTACAAAGTGTAATTAGGTGAAATACAAGTTATGCTAGGATTTTGTATGATAGAAATATAATTATTTTTAGAAGTGTATGAGAGGAGTTTTCGGGTGCCAACTCCATCACGATTAAAAAGCACACTCAAAATCCCAACTTCTTGATGTAAAGAAGAAAGGGCTTTTTCCACTGCCAGTGCCACCTTTCTTTTCGCCATCCTCGACAACCCTCTTGATGTTCTCAAGGTATTTTGGTTTGATCAAATATTTTTTGTTCTATTTTTATTTTTATGGGATATCCTTTTTTTTTTTTTAACCTTTCAATTCCGTGTATGCGGTTTTTCTTGTGATAGTGACATTTCCAGCATCCCGATCAATAAAAATTATCCCAACGACTATTTTTGATGAACTTATAACTCCAACTATGGAGTCCTCGAGCATGTGGTGGCCTCGAGACATTATGCCCGGCCACATCCCGCCTGGCTGCTTCGCATATTGCAATATTTGTCCTCGAGCATCAGCAGTCCTCGGGCATATGCTCCCCTCACAACCTACGATGGTTGACCCTTTAGAATTCCTATGCAATTAGGACTCTTGACTCTCGCAAGGATTCTATCCCACATATAATTATGGAATTTGACCAACTCCTTGACTATTCAGGACTCCAACAGATAAGGACATCCAGCTAGTTGAGTCCCACTAGGAGAATGTCGCTTACTACTATAAATACAGAACCTTAAACCATTATTCAGGTACGTTTTACATAATTTTCAGTTCATAGCCTTACGCACAAATTCTCTCTCTGACTTAAATATCGGAGGGGCGACGAGGACACACCTCGACGTCTTTGTTTCAGGTATCGGAAGATCACGTTCGTGCTCGTCATCAGTCGTCTAGCTCGGAATTACTTATGTACGATTTTTGGTAGCATCATCTTGAATGGTGATCTTCAATTTCACTCAGATTCGAGAATGCCCTTGTTTTTATTTTTGGCAAGAAAGTGTAATGAAAATTCCTGAACTTACTTTATACATTGCCCGAGTTAATAGTGATCCATTCATTTTTTGTTGCCGTAAATTGATGCTTCACGGTAATTCTCACCTCCTAATATAATGATTTTGTCAAAATTCAGCACTTTAAGGACAAGTGGTGTGAAACATCAGTTTAGATATCAGCATATCATACGTCATATTAAATAGGTATCATTCATTGTATTTAATAGAACCTAAATTTAATGTCACTGGTATTACCATCTAGATAGATATTAAAAATCAATGATATTAAATAGCATTACTCCTATTAATATATTATCATTATTGCAATTTGTAGAATCATGTAAACTTGTGCTTGTTAATTTAGTTTAGTAGTCATTATTCAGAAACCTTCAACTTTATTTTCAAGTATTGCATGTATAGAAGGACTTCTAACCATTTTTTTTCCCAAAAATTTGTTAAATGATAAAAATATTCTTCTCAGATCCACATAACCGCCTAATCCCTAACCCCACCCACTGTAAGCGGGGAAGCCTTTTCCACCGTCACCATTGGTTCTAAAAGAATTTATTTTTCTTAATTCCTCCTAGTTATTTAAGGGTTCTAGTTAGGAGGAAATGAAGTTGATGGAGATGGAAAAGGGGTTGAATGGAAGTGGAAGAACTGAGGCGATGGCGGTGGTCGGCTCTATTGAAATATTCATTTTTCACGATCCAGCCAACTCAACCCCTAATCCACCCATGAAAAAAATTTCTTATGCCTTGACCGGTGAGCCTCAAAACAACCATTGTCACTTGAGTTGTTGCCATACTAGCGTCAATCATCATCGTCACCATATTTCCTTCACTTTTGTCTAGCCATTTTCTCATTCCCATCAACTCAATTTCCTCATAATAAGAACATTTAAAGAATTAGGAAGAAATAAATAAATTCTATTCAAAATTACAGTAGCGACGGTGATGGAGGCTCCCCACCTACCAGTGGGTGGATTAGGGCTTGGGCGTTGGGTGTTTGTATGGATTGGAGAAGATTAATATTGTTTCAAATAACGAATTTTTAGATGGAAATCATTAAAAACCCTTCTGGCGCATGTTTATTAAATGTTTGGACCTTTGTTGCAATTTATTTATTTATTTATTTTTGAAAATTTGTCACTTCCAATACAAATTACCCTTGTACCTTTTCTAAATTGATCAAATTATGGTCAAATGTTGACTTTTTGGGACAACTAACGATTTATGGATGAAAATTGTCCAAAGGTCATTCTACCACACAAGTTTGAAATATTTGGCATCAGCGTTGCTACAAAGGGGAAAAAAATAGATAAAATCTGCAAAAATTGAAAAGATTTGAGACCATGACTGTGATTATCCTCAATTCTCTCTCTGACTTAAATATCGGAGGGGCGACGAGGACACACCTCGACGTCTTTGTTTCAGGTATCGGAAGATCACGTTCGTGCTCGTCATCAGTCGTCTAGCTCGGAATTACTTATGTACGATTTTTGGTAGCATCATCTTGAATGGTGATCTTCAATTTCACTCAGATTCGAGAATGCCCTTGTTTTTATTTTTGGCAAGAAAGTGTAATGAAAATTCCTGAACTTACTTTATACATTGCCCGAGTTAATAGTGATCCATTCATTTTTTGTTGCCGTAAATTGATGCTTCACGGTAATTCTCACCTCCTAATATAATGATTTTGTCAAAATTCAGCACTTTAAGGACAAGTGGTGTGAAACATCAGTTTAGATATCAGCATATCATACGTCATATTAAATAGGTATCATTCATTGTATTTAATAGAACCTAAATTTAATGTCACTGGTATTACCATCTAGATAGATATTAAAAATCAATGATATTAAATAGCATTACTCCTATTAATATATTATCATTATTGCAATTTGTAGAATCATGTAAACTTGTGCTTGTTAATTTAGTTTAGTAGTCATTATTCAGAAACCTTCAACTTTATTTTCAAGTATTGCATGTATAGAAGGACTTCTAACCATTTTTTTTCCCAAAAATTTGTTAAATGATAAAAATATTCTTCTCAGATCCACATAACCGCCTAATCCCTAACCCCACCCACTGTAAGCGGGGAAGCCATTTCCACCGTCACCATTGGTTCTAAAAGAATTTATCTATCTTAATTCCTCCTAGTTATTTAAAGGTTCTAGTTAGGAGGAAATGAAGTTGATGGAGATGGAAAAACGGGTTGAACGGAAGTGGAAGAAATGAGGCGACGGCGGTGGTCGGCTCTATTGAAATATTCATTTTTCACGATCCAGCCAACTCAACCCCTAATCCACCCATGAAAAAAATTTCTTATGCCTTGACCGGTGAGCCTCAAAACAACCATTGTCACTTGAGTTGTTGCCATACTAGCGTCAATCATCATCGTCACCATATTTCCTTCACTTTTGTCTAGCCATTTTCTCATTCCC